ATGATATTAATAAAAACAGTATTCTTCCACCAAACAATGTAGTTCCTCAGAATCAGTTATGGTTGCAACAAAGTGGTTGCCGAGCAACACACAAACGTAAACAATGGTGTGTGTTACTTTGTAGAGTCATTTACAACAGCTTCAAACAATGCTTCAGCCAATCAGAATCAAGCACCGGAACTCTCCGTTTTATAAATAGCATTTTACTATATTTTAGTGTTTAATTTATTTAATAGCATTTTATTTATTCTCCCATCAGAACACACCTGTGCTCATTTTTCCCACGGTTCTTATTATTAAATATGAATGTGTTGCAACTCCTATTCAATATTCTCAGGGAGACAAACTCGGGCCGGCCTGGCGTTTGGGTCTACGAGATCGGCAAGTCTCCGTTATTCACCTCCATCACACCCGGAGAGGTCACGGAGGTCACGTCTGAGGAGACTGTGGTGGACTCTCCGGTCCCTGAGCCGTCAGTCCCGTGGATTCGACAGCGTGAAGAGCTTCAGACCTCCGAAGCTCCGTATGAAATGCTCACCACTAGTCCAGAGCCGTTCGGAGAGTCGTCGACCCCTGACGAGCTTCAGCATCGCTACGTTCAACCTCAGCAGCGGCCACAGAACCCGCAGGTGCTGATCATCGATGAAGACGAGCTGAACGTCGACGGTGAGAGAAAAACACTGATTATATTCAGCCCAACAAGTCTAAACTGTGTGTCCATAGCAAATGTTTCTTTATATTTTCTGGCAGTGTTCTCTTATAATTACGAGACGTGCTCCAGCAACAAGCACAAGTGCTCTGTGTTCGCCGACTGCAGAGATTACGCTGACGGATTCTGCTGTCACTGCAAACCCGGTTACTACGGCAACGGCAAGGATTGCGTCGCCGAGGGTGAGTCGCAACGTTAACCAGGGTTAAATAACAATTAAAACAAAAAATCTCTTCACTTAAAGTCACATGAAATAAAATAAAGTTAACTGAAATAAAATAAAATAAATTATAAAATAAATGTTTTAATATATTTAAAAAAACTTACAATTATTTTTGTTTATCACTAAAGTATCTAAAACTAAAACTGAAAAAAAAAAAAATGTATATATATATATATATATATATATATATCTATGATCGGAGTGCGATTAGTCGGACTTGTGAATGCAAACAAACAAACGTAGCAGAGTACCGATTTTTTTTTTTTTTTTAAACAAAAAGTGAACAAACAGTAAAATCAGTCAAACTTGAACTAAAATTAAAATGAAAATGAAAAAATAAAAACGAATTCTAAATATTAATAAAAAATTATAATAGTATATTTTAATGATAATAAAAGAACACTGGGTCACATCGTTTTAACTCTAAACATATATTATCAGGATATGTATGGGAAATTTTGAAATTTGAAATAAAAAAAATTATTAAAACTATATAGACATATTAAAAAAAACCTAATGGTAATAAAATTGACAAAAATACCAAAAATGCTAAAACTTTAACTAAAATTAAAATTAAAACAGAAAAAAAAAAATTTGAAAAATATTAATTAAAAATTATGATAGTATATTTTAATGATATTAAAATAACACTGGGTCACATCGTTTTAACTCTAAACATACATTATTAGGATATGTATTGTTTAGTTTGCAATAGGGTTATTATAGTTAACTAAAAATAAAAGCATAAAAATGTTTTTGTTACTTGAAATACAATAAACATTAACTGAAATAAAATACAATTTTAAAAAGTATTTATAAAGCTTATTTTATTTCAACTACTTGCCAAGGCAATAATTCTCATTTTTATTTTATTTAATTTAACTTAACTAAAACTAAAACCATAAAAAAAAAACATTTAGTTACTTGAAATAAATGTTAACAAAATAAAATAAAATTTAATAAAATATATGTATTAAAAAAATATTTCAGTTTGTTTCCAAACCAAAAATTTGGGAAATTTGAAATGAAAAAATATAATTAAAACTGTATAGACATATAAAAAAAAAACTAATGGTAATAAACATTTTTAAAATGAAAACAGAAAACATAAAAATAAAAACAAATTCAAAATATTAATAAAAATGTCTATAGTTTTAATTCATTTTTTTATTGTTTCATTTTGTGTCAGTTTATTTTATTGTTTCAGTTAGTTATTTTAGTACATCAAGTTAAACTAAATAAAAATGAAAAAATGTTGCTTTGACAACAAACTGAAATAAAATTATTTTTTATATATTTTTAATATTTTATTTCAGTTAACATTTATTTTATTTCAGGTAATGAACTAAAGTTTTAGCTTTAGTTAATGATAATAAACCTGATCCCATGCAATACTATGAACTTCCTTCATCCGTTCCTACTAAACAACAATAAATCCCTGAATATCATATCTGAGCAGTGAGTGATCCCGTTGTTTTCCGAATCTCCAGGCAAGCCTCAGAGGATGAACGGGAAGGTCAGCGGCAGGATCTACGTCGGTGGTTCTCCGTCTCCTGTGGAGTTTTCCAACAACGACCTGCACTCGTATGTGGTGACTAACGACGGTCGAGCGTATATCGCCATCAGCAGCATCCCATCCAGCGTCGGTCCGTCTCTGCAGCCTCTGCTGGCTCTCGGTGAAGCCATCGGCTGGGCCTTCGCTCTGCAGCAGCCCGACTACCACAACGGCTTCAGCATCATCGGTGAGACCTGATCCATAATCGCTCAGTCTACTTTAAAGACCTATTATTCAGCTTCCTCTTTGTCTCTTAAAAACAAAATGAATTACAACTATTAAAAAGTTGTTAAAATGTTAAAGGGGTCATAGGATGCTATATGCACTTTTACGGTTGTTGGATGTAATAACGAACATAGCAGTCGTCATTTACTCCCGACATGAGCCGCTGAAGACACAGTGGATTACATTGTTTCTGAAGGGAATGCTCCCTGATCTACATAAATGCGTTTATGTTCGCGCGAATCATTCGTGATCCAGCTTCACCTACAGAAGGAGTATAATTTTCCCTAAAGAATCATATCAGCTTGTGGAAAATGGGCATCCGATGACCTCTTTAACACTATGATTAGTGTTACTATTGTAATTAATATTGATAATATAATTTTTCAATATAATTTTTCAATATCACAACTTATTGTTGTTGTTATTATTGTTTAAATTAAGTTAATAATATTAACTGAAACATTAATTGGATTTCCAACCATGACACAATATCGTCAAAAAATCTGAAAATCAGAACGTGGAACGTTGTAAGAAACGTTTTAGCAACCTTTAAATAACGTTATAATCACAAGAAGAAGATGACATTTTAACGTTCTTAGAATATAAAAAAGAAACAATATAATAACGTTATATCTTGAGTGAAAATAAAGTTAGTGGAACGTTGTGAGAAACGTTTCAGTAACCTTTAAATAACGTTATGATCACGACAATAAAACTAGACATGTCGGTGTTTTAGAAACATTTTAAAACAATGTTCCCGCGCTTTTATAAGCTAAATGGATTACCTGGGTTCTGGTCTCGGCAGGAGGGGTTTTCACGCGGCAGGCCGAGGTCGTCTTCCAGCCCGGGAACGAACGGCTGAGCATCAGGCAGGAGTTCAGCGGCATCGATGAACACGATCACCTGCTGATCAGCACCGAACTGGACGGCAGGATCCCAGAGGTGCCTCGAGGAGCCACGGTCCAGATCGAGCCCTACAGCGAGATTTACCAGCACTCCAGCAACCGTGAGTCAACCTCTCAGATATATGACACCAATCAGAAATATCCTCGTTTCAAAGTGTCTCTATGATACAAACTCTCTCTAAGATAGCTGGAGCGGATCTGCAACTCTGCAGTCAATTAAGTGCATGCATTTCTGTTATTTTTAAGGAATATTGGAACGAATTGAAATTAGATTAACACAAGATTTAAGTTATTTTATAGTAATTGTGAAGGGCTGGATTTAAAAAAAGAAACCAGAATTGTACTAATGTTTTAGTAATTTACACTTAATTAGAAGTGCTCTCAATTTTAATTATGCTTTTTATTTATTTGTTTATTTTTTAAGGAAACGTTTATGTACGTATCAGAGATGTAAATTAGCCTGTACAATATCATTAATATACTATTATAGTTTTTTTAATTATTTTGAACTTGTTTTATTTTTTTTTATATTTTCTGTTTCATTTAATTATATTTATTTGTTTGTTTTTGTAATTTATTGCTAGCTTTGTTTTTTATGTTTATATATTTTTTTATTAATTTTTATTTCAGTTTTAGTTTTATTTATTTTTGTACATCAAGTTAAACTAAATGAAAATGAGAAATTTTGTTACATTTTATATATTTTATTTTATTTCAGTTAAAACTTATTTTATTATGGATTTTATTATTATTATTATGGTTAAAGTTTTAGTTTAGGAAAAGTTTATGTAGGTATCAGAGATCATTAATATCCTATTATAGTTTTTTTAATTATTTTTAATTTGTTTTATTTTTATATTTTCTGTTTCCATTTAATTTTATTTATTTATTTATTTGTTTTTTGTTTGTTTTTGTCATTTTTGCTAGCTTTGTTTTTTTAATGTTTATATAGTTTTTATTAATTTTTATTTCAGTTCTGTTTATATTTTGTATATTTTATTTTATTTCAGTTAAAACTTATTTTATGATGGATTTTATTAGTATTATGGTTAAAGTTTTAGTTTTAGTTCACTATAATTAACCTGTGTACAGTGCATTGTTTTTAGTTAATTTTGTGCTGAAATCATTCTTTTTATACTGTCACTATACATATAAATAGTCAAAAATGTGGTAAAGCTAATGTAAAACTAACATACACCAATTAAGTGTTGTAATTCAGGTGTTCTACGTCAAACGTAAAGCTAATAACTCACTCTTTTTTTGTTGTTTTTCTATGTAAACATGCGCTTGATGAAGATCTTTGACTGTTGCATCTTGTGCATCATGACATGGCACACTTAAAAGTCACATTTTAAACATAAATGCATCTCAAATTAAAAAAATTCTATTTTTTCCATTCTACTGCGCTGCTTTTCGGTTTTATTTTTTTTCTACGTAAACATGCACTTGTCGGACGTCTTTGACCGTTGCCCTCGCGTCTTTTGCATCATGCATGACGCTGCATTCTAAAAACATTTAAAATTTAAATTTAAAAAAATTCATTTTTTTTCTCATTCCATTGCCTGGCATCTCTCGTTTTTAAAAATGCAATATTGCGTTCTGTGTTAACAGCCCCTTCGGCACCATGCATGTATCTTACTAACAACAGAAATTGAGGCCAAGCAGCTTTCTATGTTCTCCTAAAAAACCCTTTTAATCTAAAGATGAAACATATGAACACATGAGCTTGTGCGGTTTAATGGCATCCTCTCTATTTCAGTCTTCGCTCTTCTCTGTGATGTTCTCAGTGATTACGTCCTCCTCGCGGCGGGACTATATCGTTAGTATGCCCGATGGTAGCGTTCGCACACTCAGCTTCTTGTGGACGCAGAACATCAAGTTCCAGAGCTGCCCGCACGAGGAGGTCCTGAGCGCTGTGCCGGTGAGCCAACAGCTCAGCGTCGACCAGATCTTCGTCATGTATGACTCCAGCAACCAGCTGATCCGCTTCGCCATGAGCAACAAGATCGGCTCCATCCACAGTAAGGAATCTAGAACTACAGCAAATGAAACACATGACAGAGAGACTAAACACTGGGTTCTGTCACATATGTGTTGGGTAATGACTCATACACTACTGTTTCAAAGTTTGGAGTCGGTAAGATTTCCTAATGGTTTTACAATAAGTCTCTTCTGCTCACCAAGGCTGCATTTATTTGACCAAAACGTACAGTAAAAATAGTGAAATATTTTTACAATTTAAAACAGCTGTTTTCTATGTGAATATCTGTTAAACTGTAATTTATTCCTGTGATCAAAGCTGAATTTTCAGCATCATTACTCCAGTCTTCAGAGTCACATGATCTTCAGAAATCATTCTGATATACTGATTTATTATCAGTGCTGGAAACCTGTGATGCATTTTTGTTTTTCAGGATTCAGAGATGAATAAAAGTTCAAAAGAACAGCATTTATTTAAAATAGAAATCTTATCTAACAATATACGTCTTTATTATCACGTTTTATCAATTTAACACATCCTTGATGAATAAAAGTATAATTTCTTTCAAAAATAGAAAGAAAAAAATATCTGCTGACCCCAAATTTTGAACTGTAGTGTGTATTGTTACAAAATATTTCTATTTTGAATAAATGCTGTTCTTTTTTTTTTTACTTTTTATTCATCAAAGAATCTTGAAAAAAGTAGCACAGCTTCCAAAAAAAAAAAAAATGTAATATTCCAACATTGATAATAAATCAGCATATTAGAATGATTTCTGAAGATCATGTGACACTGAAGACTGGAGTAATGATGCTGAAAATACAGCTGCGCATCACAGAAATAAATTACAGTTTAACAGATATTCACATAGAAAACTGCTGTTTTAGATTCTAAAAATATTTCACAATTTTTACTGTATTTTTAAATCAAATAAATGCAGCTTTGATGAGCAGAAGAAACATTTTTTTATAAAATATGAAAATTCTTACTGACCCCAAATTTGAACGGCAATGTATGTATAAATGTTTTACTTCTTGTAGTTGAGATTTGTTATGTATTGCTTTACAGTGTACTGTAAGTTGAATATATTATAGGAGTTGTAGGTTATAATTAATAATTTCTTATGTGGTGATATTGAGGAGGTTTTGTTGAGGTTATAGTAATTTGTTGTAGTGATTTGTATCCCTGCAGCAGGTAAATGATGCATGGAAATGACAGGGTTAAAAAAGGAGCTCGTATTTTTGTGGCTTCTTTTATTGGTCCATTTTAATGGTTAAATGAAAGAGGTTGAATATTTTATGTTTCAGAATAGAGTGAAAGAGGATGCTTCGACTCTGCTTTTGATGTGGTTTCATATTTAAAACCCCTTAAGTGCCACCGGCCCACAGGTGGGCCCAATGGCGCTCTTTTTTGTTGTTGTCTTTTTTCTCTATCACATATTTTAGAAATCATAAATGATATATCATTTGAAAGCTTAAAACCTCAGAACTCATCCTGTGAAAATCATTTTTAAATCGGACATTGCTTTACCATGGAAATGGTACTTTAAAATCTTTTAGTCTCCTCCCCTTAGTGGGTGGAGTCAAGTGTCGTATTACAAAATGTATTACGGTCTTTTAGAATCAAAATTTTTTATGATCTTGAACAAAATACATATATTTGGAAAGGTCTGAGTCTCAAGATTCCATATTTGGTGGTTATTTTTTGCTAGAAGTAATATTGACAGAGAAATTTAGACCTTCGTGACAGAAAAATGCATCTGGATGGCACTCGGTGGCTGTTTGTGGTATAACGCCTTAAATACATTTTTTTAATATCAACTTCAAATTTAGAACATAACTTATTTAGACACAAGGCTGTAATTTTATATCAATTTTGGATTCAAAAATATTTTTGTAAAATATTTACTTTATATAAAAAAAAAAAAAAATGGTACAATGCATTTTCTTTACAGTAAATTTAAACTTCTATAACTTTTTGATACTTTAATATTTTGAAATGATAGTAATCTGCAGATTGTCTTCTTAAAAAGGAGTCCAACCTTAGGTCTGTATTCCAAAATTTGCATGAATTATAATAATTTAAGTTTGGATAGTGCACTTTCACGTCTATGTTCAAAAACGGGGGGGTGGCACTTAAGGGGTTAAATGCTTTATGGTTTGAATGCCTTCAGGTTTTGTTTATTGGTGTTTTTCAGGTGGAATCCCGGAGCAGAATCCCTGTTTCACTGGGAGACACGGCTGCGACACTAATGCCGTCTGTCGTGCTGCTCAAGGCAAAGACTTCACCTGCGAATGCGCCGCTGGATTCACCGGCGACGGACGGGTTTGTTACGGTAACGATCCTCGGGTTTATATTTTGGGTCAGTGTTTGTGTTCAGACGTCTGCGTTGAGTTACTGAAGAGCTCGTTCATCTCAGCGCCGATAAATCTAGCTGTTCTCTGCTTGTAGACATCATATGTGAGCACAAAACCAGTCATAAGGGTCGATTTTTGTGAAACTGAGATTTATACATCATCTGAAAGCTGAATAAATAAGCTTTCCATTGATGTATGGTTTGTTAGGATAGCACAATATTTGAAAATCTGGAATCTGAGGGTGCAAAAAAATCTAAATATTGAGAAAATCATCTTTAAAGTTGTTCAAATGAAGTCCTTAGCAATGCATATTACTAATCAAAAATTAAGTTTTGATATATCTACGGTAGGAAATTTACAAAATATCTTCATGGAACATGATCTTTACTTAATATCCTAATGATTTTTGGCATAAAAGAAAAATCTATAATTTTGACCCATACAATGTATTGTTGGCTATTGCTACAAATATACCCCAGCAACTTAAGACTGCTTTTGTGCTCCAGGGTCACTATATTATAATTTAATTTGACTTCAAAGCTTCTCCTGGTTCACAGACGGCTCGATGATCCAGTGCAAACACTGACTATATATACAGTGTTTAATTCATGGGATGTTTCCTCTCTTTGGGATTTAGTGCAAAGAAAACACGTTTAGCCTCCAGGACTTTCTGGAGCATGATTTTGTCCACAATTTGTCCCCCTTTTTGAGAAGATCTGGGTCTCGTTATTGTTATTAACTGCACTTTATATTTCAGAGCATATACACAGAAATTAATTATTGCTGCTCTTTCTAATAAGTGCTACATCTCAAAAACCCTGAGTGATCTAAAATAAATAGAGTTTAAAGTCGATATGAAATTAACATTCACTTTATTAATTTGTAAATCACAAAAAAAAAAAACTGTCCAGAACTTGTTAGGGTTATATTTCACCCTAAAATAAAAAAAATCTCATTCTCATTCAAAATCTCATTCAACTAATATATATTATATAATATATAGAATGTTATTATTAAATATATTATTAAAATATAATATATACTGTATGTTTATATTGTTTTTAATGTATTTTTAATATATATTAATTTTATTTTTTTCATTATTTATTATATGTATGTAAATATATAACAAATGTAAAAATTGTATATATGT